CTCCAGTCTCCAATTCATTTCACCAAGTTGAAGGGAGCTCTGATTCGGAGACCTCACTCTTATCACAAATATGCCATCGTCTAAAAAATTTAGAATTCAAGCCAAGAATTATTTCTTGACTTATTCCCACTGTTCTCTTACAAATGACGAAGCTCTTACACAGTTACAAAATATTTCTACCCCAGTAAATAAATTATTTATTAGGGTTTCCAGAGAATTACACGAAGATGGGGAACCTCATCTCCATGTGCTCAAGGAGGTTGCCAATCTGCCAACGATTCATACGCAAAGGCCATTAATTCAGGATCCACCATTAATGCCCTTAAAATATTAATGGAGGAACAGCCCAGAGATTATATTAGAGATTTAGATAAATTAAGGGCTAATTTAGATAGACAATTCTGCCCTCCTAAACAACTATTTATTTCAAAATGGGACCCACAAAGTTATGTGGTCGCAGATGATATTGAGCAATGGTTAGGTGAGGTTTTCGAAGACCCATCTGCGAGGCCAGTGAAGAATAATAGTAGTGACAGACCATTGAGTCTGATACTGGAGGGGCCAAGCAGAACATGTAAGACTGCTTGGGCTAGATCATTAGGCGTTCATAATTATATTAGTGGTCATTTAGATTTTAATGCAAAATCTTATTCCAATAATGTAACTTATAACGTCATTGATGACATATCCCTAATAAGAGTGAGGTCTCCGAATCAGAGCTAGTTAAGCCCAGTGATATCTTGTACAGAAGAAAATGTATCACGGAAGGCAGGTAGTGTTCCATTGGGCTCCTAGTCCACTACCACGCCCCAAAACACTATATAGCTACGGGGGGTCATAGATGCTGCAGTATCTAGTTCCCCCCAAAATTGAAAAAACATGGACTCAATTAAGTCCACATCAGACTCACGCTGATTCTGGGCCAGGCCCAGAGTAAGCCCATTTAATAAATTCACAGACCCAGCATTGGTTATAGGCCCAAGGTATTGAAGCCATTGGTTGCATTAATGCAACCACCCCCTCTATGATTTATAATGTGACAAACTTGCCCAGCATGTTCTAGGAAAGTCACGGCAAGCATGACTTTCTAATCTGGATACATTTAATTTGAAATTTAAATATGCAATGATTACATTCCGACAACATTCAATCATCTACAGTGAATAGTACAGACATGTGGGGCCCACTTTTAAAAATGCGCGTCCATCCGGTAATATTATAACGGATTGACGCCACGTGTGTGAACTGGATCAATAAGGCTATTAAGGGTTCTAGTATATATGGTACTCCAGTCTCCAATTCATTTCACCAAGTTGAAGGGAGCTCTGATTCGGAGACATCACTCTTATTACAAATATGCCACCGTCTAAAAAAATTTGAATTCAAGGCAAGAGTTATTTCTTGACTTATCCCCACCGTTCTCTTTCAAAAGACGAAGCTCTTACACAGCTACAAAATATTTCTACCCCAGTAAATAAATTATTTATTAGGGTTTCCAGAGAATTACACGAAGATTGGGAACCTCATCTCCATATGCTCATCCAATTCGAAGGCAAGTATGTGTGCACCAACAATAGAGCATTCGACCTCACTTCCCCAACCAGGTCAGCACATTTCCATCCGAACATTCAGGGAGCTAAGTCCTCCTCCGATGTTAAAACATACGTGGAGAAAGACGGAGACTTCATTGATTTTGGAGTTTTCCAAATCGATGGCAGATCAAGTAGAGGAGGTTGCCAATCTGCCAACGATTCATACGCAAAGGCCATTAATTCAGGATCCACCATTAATGCCCTTAAAATATTAATGGAGGAACAACCCAGAGATTATATTAGAGATTTAGATAAATTAAGGGCTAATTTAGATAGACATTTCTTCCCTCCTAAACAACTATTTATTTCAAAATGGGACCCACAAAGCTATGTGGTCCCAGATGATATAGAGCAATGGTTAGGTGAGGTTTTCGAAGACCCATCTGCGAGGCCAGTGAAGAATAATAGTAGTGACAGACCATTGAGTCTGATACTGGAGGGGCCAAGCAGAACAGGTAAGACTGCTTGGGCCAGATCATTAGGCGTTCATAATTATATTAGTGGTCATTTAGATTTTAATGCAAAATCTTATTCCAATAATGTAACTTATAACGTCATTGATGACATATCCCTAATAAGAGTGAGGTCTCCGAATCAGAGCTAGTTAAGCCCAGTGATATCTTGTACAGAAGAAAATATATCACGGAAGGCAGGTAGTGTTCCATTGGGCTCCTGGTCCACTACCACGGCCTAAAACACTCTATAGCTACGGGGGGTCATAGATGCTGCAGTATCTAGTTCTCCCCAAAATCGAAAAAACATGGACTCAATTACGTCCACATCAGACTCGCGCTGATTCTGGTCCAGGCCCAGAGTAAGCCCATTTAATAAATTCACAGACCCAGCATTTGTTATAGGCCCATGGTATTGAAGCCATTGGTTGCATTAATGCAACCCCCCCTCCTCATGATTTATAATGTGACAAACTTGCCCAGCAAGTTCTAGGAAAGTCACGGCAAGCATGACTTTCTAATCCGGATACATTTAATTTGAAATTTGAATATGCAATGATTGCATTCCGACAACATTCAATCATCTACAGCGAATAGTACAGACATGTGGGGCCCACTTTTAAAAATGTGCGTCCATCCGGTAATATTATAACGGATGGACGCCACGTGTGTGAACTTGATCAATAAGGCTATTAAGGGTTCTAGTATATATGGTACTCCAGTCTCCAATTCATTTCACCAAGTTGAAGGGAGCTCTGATTCGGAGACCTCACTCTTATTACAAATATGCCACCGTCTAAAAAATTTTAGAATTCAAGCCAAGAATTATTTCTTGACTTATCCCCACCGTTCTCTTACAAAAGACGAAGCTCTTACACAGTTACAAAATATTTCTACCCCAGTAAATAAATTATTTATTAGGGTTTCCAGAGAATTACACGAAGATGGGGAACCTCATCTCCATGTGCTCATCCAATTCGAAGGCAAGTATGTCTGCACCAACAATAGAGTATTCGACTTCACTTCCCCAACCAGGTCAGCACATTTTCATCCGAACATTCAGGGTTCTAAGTCCTCCTCCGATGTTAAAACATTCGTGGAGAAAGATGGAGACTTCATTGATTTTGGAGTTTTCCAAATCGATGGCAGATCAAGTAGAGGAGGTTGCCAATCTGCCAACGATTCATACGCAAAGGCCATTAATTCAGAATCAACCATTAATGCCCTTAAAATATTAATGGAGGAACAACACAGAGATTATATTAGAGATTTAGATAAATTAAGGGCTAATTTAGATAGACATTACTGCCCTCCTAAACAACTATTTTTTTCAAAATGGAACCCACAAAGATATGTGGTCCCAGATGATATAGAGCAATGGTTAGGTGAGGTTTTCGAAGACCCATCTGCGAGGCTAGTGAATAATAATAGTAGTGACAGACGATTGAGTCTGATACTGGAGGGGCCAAGCAGAACATGTAAGACTGCTTGGGCAAGATCATTAGGCGTTCATAATTATATTTGTGGTCATTTAGATTTTAATGCTAAATCTTATTCCTATAATGTAACTTATAACGTCTTTGGTGACATATCCCTAATAAGAGTGAGGTCTCCGAATCAGAGCTAGTTAAGCCCAGTGATATCTTGTACAGAAGAAAATATATCACGGAAGGCAGGTAGTGTTCCATTGGGCTCCTGGTCCACTACCACGGCCCAAAACACTCTATAGCTATGGGGGGTCATAGATGCTGCAGTATCTAGTTCCCCCCAAAATCGAAAAAACATGGACTCAATTAAGTCCACATCAGACTCGCGCTGATTCTGGTCCAGGCCCAGAGTAAGCCCATTTAATAAATTCACAGACCCAGCATTGGTTATAGGCCCATGGTATTGAAGCCATTGGTTGCATTAATGCAACCACCCCTCTATGATATATAATGTGACAAACATGCCCAGCAAGTTCTAGGAAAGTCACGGCAAGCATGACTTTCTAATCCGGATACATTTAATTTGAAATTTGAATATGCAATGATTACATTCCGACAACATTCAATCATCTACAGTGAATAGTTCAGACATGTGTGGCCCACTTTTGAAAATGCGCGTCCATCCGGTAATATTATAACGGATGGACGCCACGTGTGTGAACTGGATCAATAAGGCTATTAAGGGTTCTAGTATATATGGTACTCCAGTCTCCAATTCATTTCACCAAGTTGAAGGGAGCTCTGATTCGGAGACCTCACTCTTATTACAAATATGCCACCGTCTAAAAAATTTAGAATTCAAGCCAAGAATTATTTTTTGACTTATCCCCACCGCTCTCTTACAAAAGACGAAGCTTTGACACAGTTACAAAATATTTCTACCCCAGTAAATAAAGTATTTATTAGGGTTTCCAGAGAATTACACGAAGATGGGGAACCTCATCTCCATGTGCTCGTCCAATTCGAAGGCAAGTATGTCTGCACCAACAATAGAACATTCGACCTCACTTCCCCAACCAGGTCAGCACATTTCCATCCGAACATTCAGGGAGCTAAGTCCTCCTCCGAAGTTAAAACATACGTGGAGAAAGACGGAGACTTCATTGATTTTAGAGTTTTCCAAATCGATGGCAGATCAAGTAGAGGAGGTTGCCAATCTGCCAACGATTCATACGCAAAGGCCATTAATTCAGGATCCACCATTAATGCCCTTGAAATATTAATGGAGGAACAGCCCAGAGATTATATTAGAGATTTAGATAAATTAAGGTCAAATTTAGATAGACATTTCTGCCCTCCTAAACAACTATTTATTTCAAAATGGGACCCACAAAGCTATGTGGTCCCAGATGTTATAGAGCAATGGTTAGTTGAGGTTTTTGAAGACCCATCTGCCAGGCCAGTGAAGAATAATAGTAGTGACAGACCATTGAGTCTGATACTGGAGGGGCCAAACAGAACAGGTAAGACTGCTTGGGTCACNCAATGGTTAGGTGAGGTTTTCGAAGACCCATCTGCGAGGCCAGTGAAGAATAATAGTAGTGACAGACCATTGAGTCTGATACTGGAGGGGCCAAGCAGAACAGGTAAGACTGCTTGGGCCAGATCATTAGGCGTTCATAATTATATTAGTGGTCATTTAGATTTTAATGCAAAATCTTATTCCAATAATGTAACTTATAACGTCATTGATGACATATCCCTAATAAGAGTAAGGTCTCCGAATCAGGGTTAGTTAAGCCCAGTGATATCTTGTACCAAAGAAAATATATCACGGAAGGCAGGTAGTGTTCCATTGGGCTCCTGATCCACTACCACGGCCCAAAACACTCTATAGCTACGGGGGGTTATAGATGTTGGAGTATCTAGTTCCCCCCAAAATTGAAAAAACATGGACTCAATTAAGTCCACATCAGACTCATGCTGATTCTGGGCCAGGCCCAGAGTAAGCCCATTTAATAAATTCAAAGACCCAACATTGGTTATAGGCCCAAGGTATTGAAGCCATTGGTTGCATTAATGCAATCCCTCCCCCCCTACGATTTATAATGTGACAAACTTTCCCAGCAAATTGTAGGAAAGTCACGGCAAGCATGACTTTCTAATCCGGATACATTTAATTTGAAATTTGAATATGCAATGATTACATTCCGACAACATTCAATCATCTACAGTGAATAGTACAGACATGTGGGGCCCACTTTTAAAACTGCGCGTCCATCCGATAATATTATAACGGATGGACGCCACATGTGTGAACTGGATCAATAAGGCTATTAAGGGTTCTAGTATATATGGTACTCCAGTCTCCAATTCATTTTACCAAGTTGAAGGGAGCTCTGATCCGGAGACCTCACTCTTATTACAAATATGCCACCGTCTAAAAAATTTAGAATTCAAGCCAAGAATTATTTCTTGACTTATACCCACTATTCCCTTACAAAAGACGAAGCTCTTACACAGTTACAAAATATTTCTATACCAGTAAATAAATTATTTATTAGGGTTTCCAGAGAATTACACGAAGATGGGGAACCTCATCTCCATGTGCTCATCCAATTCGAAGGCAAGTATGTCTGCACCAACAATAGAGCATTCGACCTCACTTCCCCAACAAGGTCAGCACATTTCCATCCGAACATTCAGGGAGCTACGTCCTCCACCGATGTTAAAACATACGTGGAGAAAGACGGAGACTTCATTGATTTTGGAGTTTTCCAAATCGATGGCAGATCAAGTAGAGGAGGTTGCCAATCTGCCAACGATTCATACGCAAAGGCCATTAATTCAGGATCCACCATTAATGCCCTTAAAATATTAATGGAGGAACAGCCCAGAGATTATATTAGAGATTTAGATAAATTAAGGGCTAATTTAGATAGACATTTCTGCCCTCCTAAACAACTATTTATTTCAAAATGGGACCCACAAAGCTATGTGGTCCCAGATGTTATAGAGCAATGGTTAGATGAGGTTTTCGAAGACCCATCTGCCAGGCCAGTGAAGAATAATAGTAGTGACAGACCATTGAGTCTGATACTGGAGGGGCCAAGCAGAACAGGTAAGACTGCTTGGGCCAGATCATTCGGCGTTCATAATTATATTAGTGGTCATTTAGATTTTAATGCAAAATCTTATTCCAATAATGTAACTTATAACGTCATTGATGACATATCACTAATAAGAGTGAGCTCTCCGAATAAGAGCTAGTTAAGCCCAGTGGTATCTTGTACAGAAGAATATATATCACGGAAGGCAGGTAGTGTTCCATTGGGCTCCTGGTCCACTACCACGGTCCAAAACACTCTATAGCTACGGGGGGTCATAGATGCTGCAGTATCTAGTTCCCCCCAAAATCGAAAAAACATGGACTCAATTAAGTCCATATCAGAATCACGCTGATTCTGGGCCAGGCCCAGAGTAAGCCCATTTAATAAATTCACAGACCCCGCATTGGTTATAGGCCCAAGGTATTGGAGCCATAGGTTGCATTAATGCAACCACCCCCTATGATATATAATGTGACAAACATGCCCAGCAAGTTCTAGGAAAGTCACGGCAAGCATGACTTTCTAATTCGGATACATTTAATTTTAAATTTGAATATGCAATGATTACATTCCGACAACATTCAATCATCTACAGTGAATAGTACAGACATGTGGGCCCCACTTTTAAAAATCCGCGTCCATCCGGTAATATTATAACGGATGGACGCCACGTGTGTGAACTGGATCAATAAGGCTATTAAGGGTTCTAGTATATATGGTACTCCAGTATCCAATTCATTTCACCAAGTTGAAGGGAGCTCTGATTCGGAGACCTCACTCTTATTACAAATATGCCATCGTTTAAAAAATTTATAATTCAAGCCAAGAATTATTTCTTGACTTATCCCCACTGTTCTCTTACAAAAGATGAAGCTCTTACACAGTTACGATATATTTCTACCCCAGTAAATAAATTATTTATTAGGGTTTCCAGAGAATTACACGAAGGAGGGGAACCTTATCTCCATGTGCTCAAGAAGGTTGCCAATCTGCCAACGATTCATACGCAAAGGCTATTAATTTAGGATCCACCATTAATGCCCTTAAAATATTCTTGGAGGAACAGCCTAGAGATTATATTAGAGATTTAGATAAATTAAGGGCTAATTTAGATAGACATTTCTGCCCTCCTAAACAACTATTTATTTCAAAATGGGACCCACAAAGCTATGTGGTCCCAGATGATATAGAGAAATAATTAGATGAGGTTTTCGAAGACCCATCTGCGAGGCCAGTGTAGAATAATAGTAGTGACAGACCATTGAGTCTGATACTAGAGGGGCCAAGCAGAACATGTAAGATTGCTTGGGCCAGATCATTAGGCGTTCATAATTATATTAGTGGTCATTTAGATTTTAATGCAAAATCTTATTCCAATAATGTAATTTATAACGTCATTCATGACATATCCCTAATAAGAGTGAGGTCTCCGAATAAGAGCTAGTTAAGCCCAGTGATATCTTATACAGAAGAAAATATATCACGGAAGGCAGGTAGTGTTCCATTGGGCTCCTGGTCCACTACCACGGCCCAAAACACTCTATAGCTACGGGGGGTCATAGATGCTGCAGTATCTAGTTCCCCCCAAAATCGAAAAAAAATGGACTCAATTAAGTCCGCATCAGACTCACGCTGATTCTGGGCCAGGCCCAGAGTAAGCCCATTTAATAAATTCACAGACCCAGCATTGTTATAGGCCCAAGATATTGAAGCCATTGGTTGCATTAATGCAACCCCCCCCCCCCC